TTCAGATTACCCATATTATTTACACAAGCCAACATAGATCGATCTAAAAGATAATCCATCTCGGCCTCCGCAGTGGAAGGTTGAAAAATGTAGCATGATAATTTGACAGTTTTCCGGCCGCTGGTTATTCATCTTCGTTATTGATATCTCGCTTGAACATTAAGGATATAAGAAAGGTCATTAATAAATCGCTTGGTTGTTATTTATTCTAGAAATAATTTTTGTATCCAATATCTTTTCGATTATCTAATAATACGTATCTTACTATCAAAAAGTTAGTTATGTGCACATGACAGCTTATTATTTACGGATTGTAGATTTATAGATCTCTATATTGTGTACCATATTTATAATGATAATTTCCTATAATAATATTTTCTACGTTAAAACAATGTTTAACGGTTAAGGAATGGAAATTTAGGTATAAAGTAAAGTTGAAAATATAATAAAATATAGGATTCAAACTTGCTACCTCCAAAATATCGCTTTTCAATTGTTTTCAAAATAAAACTATCGTGCCTTGAAATAAGTCAACGAATCTGTTCTATATACATATTAACCCGTCATAAAGGGTCAATATATTTCATTTCACTCATATTTAAATTTTGATTCATCTTTATATAATTTCGATACATGGTGAAGCATATAATGAATATTTACTTTCAATCAATAGCATTTAATACATAAATGAGATGGGAATTTCAATCGTTGCATAATGATGTGTACTACTACGGTTGAATGAATAAAGTACACTAATTTCATGATATTTGATATAAATACATTTAAATTTTGATGTTAAATTCAGCGAAACTAGTTGTATTGGCTGATTTTATTAAATAAAAGTGATTTTGTCTTTATAAGACTATTAGAAAAGGAAATTAAAGATATTAACCTAAGGCTATTTATTGTCAACTATTTTTTTGAATTTTGGACGGAAGTGGTAGTAAGGTGGTAGAGCCTAGCTATACTATGGTTTAGTAGCTATAGCTCGAAAAGTGCCACCATATCACAGCAGATTGACGTTTAGTAGTCTTTAATAGCTGCGTTTCATCCGATGAGTGAGAGAGACAGGTACCCTTTCACTGGTCCCATCCTTTACTGCCACCTTCTTGTTCCCACCCCTCCCGCTTCCTTCAATCAAGGTTAGCAACGCATCTGCAACAATTCTTAATATTTTACGGATGTCCACGGGCGACGGCAACTACTGCCAATCAAATTGTCTGTCTGCTCGTTTGCCACCTTTTCTCATAAAAAAATAATATAACTTATATAGATATATCAATATATACAGAACATATTAAGCAAACACGGAAAAGATACGAGCGGGCTTAAGAAGGTGGTTCTCTATTTGTTTCAGATCCTAAAGTACATGCTACTCTTGCGATTTGATTATAGAATATGTATCTACACATGTAGTCCTTAATATGACCTGTATATATTTTAATACATACCGGTCATATTATATATTTGTAATATATTTTAATATGACCTGGTCCCTGAACGCTATATTTTTACAGTATGAAGTAGCAAAAAATTTAAAGGTTTCTTTTTTCATTTTTAAACACACGTGGGCTACTAAATAAATAAGAATACGTATTAAAATTTTACAAATCCTTTCTTTTTATTTTTTAAAAATGTATGCTTTTCAGATTAAGTTTCTTTCAAAAAAATTGTCCTTCCAACAAATTGTTGTTGTAAGTATACAGTAACAAATTTAGGCAGATACTGTCACACGCTACAAAAAGGGTCTCGTTAAGAAGACTGAAAAGGATATGTAAGACACTGTATATGATACTGTATAGTTCCGTAGAAACTAGAAACCGTGGTGGCAATCTAAATTGTAAATATATTCAGCATGGAACGCTGACAATTCATCTCGAACGCTAACAAGACATGACTGCTTCGGAAAGTACTTATGATCAAAGCACGAGTTCTCGAAGGATAATCGCTACCTCAAGAGAAAAGAAGACGAAAGACTGACTAAGGTCGCAAGAAAAGAATATTTATACAGTATTTGCGTTTCTTCTTATTTGTTTGGTTGTGATGTCTTCTACAAGAAAATACCTTTAATCTCTGTTGTCTCCTATCGTCATTGCAAAGAAACTGTGTTAAACTACCCGATAGAGGGGCAGGAAAAAAACCTACTCAGCGATAAAATAAAATTGCTTTTGAAATTTCCATACATATATTTATGGTACTCTAATGAATATAACACGAATTCTGTATCAGAACGAATAAGCGAAACCTTGATGGTATCATGAAATAAAAGCCTTTATTCTTGAGCTTAGAATGAAGCAAGAATAAATAAAATCTATTCATTAATTTCAAAGTTTGAATATTAGTTTCACAAAATTCTGCTTAGAAGTGAATCAACGTGTTAATAAATTTCCGTAGTCATATAGGTAAATTTTCTTAAGTTTCATTATTAGCTCATATAATTTTCAAATTGAAAATAAATACATATTTTCAATAACAGTGCCTTCAATCAATCAACAATTACTCAAGTTTCCTTAGAGTAATTATTGACACTTACTTTGTCCTCCTCCTGTGAAATTTATTTTTTTCAGTTCTATAAAACACCAAAATATTAGAAATTCCACACAATATCAATATAGATACGTAGTAACGTTTAAACATCTTTAAAATGACAATAATTTAGAAGTATATGTGAATATAACAATAATTTATTAAAACTAGTTATCTTAAAGTTTTCTAAAGTAATTTAAAATAAAAAAATATTTTACTCGTAACTTTAAGGTTTCTGTAAAACCCCATTGGAATTACATATTTCGTCGAATTTACAAAACGCACATGAAACCAAGATAATACGCACGCACACATACAAGAGCATGCAATCCCTGGGCTAGACGGAACGAGCCAGTTAGAAAGAGACAGCGTAAAACTCTTATATGTTAGAAAGGGACAGACTAGTGATATTGACCTTGTTAGGCGTGACGTCATTCCCGACCTAGCTGCAGCCTCCATACTATTTACATTAGTGTGAGTGAACCAGACCCTGAAATGTGTATGTGTGTGTAAACACCGTTTCCTGTAGTATCCTAGTGTGCGTTGTCGTGTGTGAATGCAACAGATATGTTTGAATGTGTTGTTACATTGATTTCCCGCATCAACAGGCTGTGCGTTGTCTATTATGTTTCTGTATTTATGTTATTATGATAATAATTGTTTGGCTAAGCATCTCATATTCATCAGAATAATTGGTTTTGTTTATTACTAAGTGTAAGGTTATTAAAGAAAGAAAATATCTAGGAATTTTGTGGTTCTGGAAACATTATTTACTATTGTATTATGATGGTGTTACATAGATATTATTTAAAAATAAATAATTTTTCAACCCATAGCTTAACTGGTGGCGTCTTTTACCGATTCAAAATTCTTTAGTATCTGTTCATCTGTTGCTGCGTTTACAGGTGGTTGTCAGATAAATATATTAATTTAGAAGAACATTTGTTTGAAAATGAAGTCGTTATCTATCTGTGCTTCGCTTAGCTTCAAAGAAAATTTTTATTCATGTCAAGTTCAATATTTATTCTGACTTGTCTTATAATATGTCTTTACGTAATTTTATAAGAATATACATTGATAACATGAATATTTTAATTTGTAGAATCAAAGTTACCAAAGAATAAAACCATTAAACTCATTTAATTTAATCGAAATTTGTCAATTATGATTACACATTCCTAACTTTTATTATTATTTCAAATAATAAAATATGTATATTAAAATTTGTGTCAAAACTGCCTAAAAATGTAGTCTAACAGATATTTTACATAGACTAAAATAACAGACAAAGCTTTGTTTTGATATAATCGCTTAAGTTATTGAAAATATTTCAGCCAACAAACTCTTTTAACGAATACCTAATTAGTTTTATCAGTCAAAGTTGTTTTTCGCATTTATTATGATCTAATAAAAATATTAAATTAGAGCATATTATAAATAAATAAATTATAACAACTAATAGGTTATCTCAAGTAAACAAAGAATACACAAAAAAATATTTATTCCATATAATTTTCTTAGCAGCTACTTGTATCAGCAATGCACCTTACAAAGTTACAACCATATATTTTCATATCACATTATCAATATTATTAGAAAATAAGCGATTATTATTATCGGTTTAAATTTTAAAACACTATTTTTAATTACAAAATAGGTTTAAAATTAAAAATATTCAAAAAATATGTAATCATCTTGTATAATATCGATAGATGGCGCTTTTATTAATTAGCGCTTCTTTTCTAAAACTAACGTACAAAAAACTTAATTCGAAGAAATTTATAATATGTAATAAGAAATTATTGCATCTTATTTATGGCATACTAATTACAATAAAACTTAGAAAGTCATGCACTTAACTATTTTATTTACTTAAATTTCTTTACCAGACTTAAAATCCCGTATTTTTGAGCGAAGTCGCTACAGCACCTATGTTATTAGCGATAAGTAAAAACTAGAAATAGAGTAGAAAGTTAGTGATAAGAATTTTTGAAGAAAATATTTGTATACGATCTAATTTTTACATCATTTATGCCTAAAAATATATTTTTTTAAATGAATTTATCAATACTCGCCTTGTTTAAGCATCTTTGTACCTAAATACAATATAACATGTTTTTATTTAATCTAAGTATTTGTCTATTTAATCACATTTACATGATTTAACATAAAAAAGTTAACACATAATAACACTTAGAATAATAAAACGCCAAACTTGCGTCGATCCTACTTCATAGTATAGAAGATATATGAAAAACTTGTATGTGCAAAAAATATCATACAGTACCTAAGTTTAAACAATTACAAGAGTGTAATTATATTTACACTATTCCAAGAAGTAAAGGATATAAAAAACGCTTGTAAATTATAAAATACATATTTATGACATAAAAAAATACATTCCTGAAACGATATTAATCTCATTACTCCACGATTTTTTGTTTCTTATTACGTACTTCATCGATGACTTGATTTCAAGAGCAAGCATCACATCTTACAAGACCGACTTCATCGCAATTCATGCACTTAAGAGCCACGAACTCTGCCGTGAAGTGGTTTCTATGCAGGCTCTTCTTGGATCCTTTGCAAATTCTGCAAGGAAGCAGCCTGAAGCCACCGCAAACCTGACAAGTGTTGCAGGCATCAGGACTCTGAAAAGAAACATTCATATATGCGAAAGATTTGAACAGCTTACTAACATTTTTTACATAAAATATATATTTAATACGAAATCAAATTAGGAGGGTAGACCATCAATTGTACTGACACGCGAATTTAATAATAATGGGAAGGGTAGCCATTTTTAAACGAATATTGAAACTTTAATGTCGCCGTAATGAAATCAGTAAATTACTTTAGAAATTATATATTTTTTTCTCAATAAAGCGTAATTGGAAAATGATTTATAACCGTCATTATTTATCATTACAGTATCAAGTTCACTTTCACGTCTTCACTATACGAGCAAACAATTCGAAAATATGTCATTATGGCCGGCTTAATACAAAAATAAAATATTTTACAAGAGGACAATTTTGTTTTTTCTCAGAATATACAATCATTAATTCATTGTACGATCTTCTACTATTTTTTAAATATCGTATTACATTTAACGTTATATTAGATATGGAATTCTTATAAAATTTCATCTTCAACAAGAGGGGATTGTCACATTTCATTATTCCCATTCCACTTGACCTTTATCTATCCAATGCCGAATTATGTAGTAATTACCTTATAGGGTTTCAACATTTTTCTCAATTCCCCACTCTCGTTGAGTTTCTCAACGGTTTCGGCGTCCTGGAAATATAAAAAAAAAGAATGTTTATTACAACAAAAATATATTGAAAGGAATAAGAATTTACCAGATGGATATAAAATTAACAATTTCAATGATACTTTTTGTTCTTCTTATTTATTAAGCATGATACAAATAACACTCGCTGTATAAGCCTATAAACAAAATCCAATATCAATTTAAAGGTTATAAGTAAAGTAAAAACGATAAAGTTTTACGTTTTGAGCGTGGGTTATCTTTATAGAGGATATAGCAACTTATTACCTGCTCACATTGCAATGGGAAAATATCTTAGTACCTAATATATTTCATTTGTAACTGATATGTAATAATATTAAACAATTATTGATCTTTAGCTAATAGCAGATCTCTTTCAAATCTAGCATTATATTGGATGAGCTAAAAAAAGTGAGATGAAGTCGAAGATAATTTCTTGAGTTAATTGAAATGGCAAATATTAAACATTGAATAATCTGCATTTAGGTAAAATACAAAATAATTTTTAAGTTACCGCTTCTGTTATCACCATGTGAAAGATTTATCGTGGGAAGTTTTATAGCTATGATATATGAGGCGCCATAACATTATCTAACATTCATTTTATTGTAAGGTTCAAAGGTCAATGTATCGTTATAATTACAAAACAACTTGATTGTCTCCATCACGGTTCGCAAATTTGTGAATCTCTCATCAAATGTTTGCCTTCTGGCTAAAATTAATTATAACTTTACGCATATAAATATATCATTAGGACTGTATAAATAACAAATATTAATTTTTTTCAGTATACAACAATGACACATTAATCGTAGCTGAAGTTATGATTTTCTCAAGCCGGTGTATTGTCACATTTTTTTTGACAATCTTTTAGGAAAGATACGTGTAATGATATATAGTAAAGTGGTAGTAACAGTATTTTGGTTTTATAATATATATACACAAGGACTGGATAGTACCTGACTTTATTATAAAATGCGACACTAAAAATTCTACTTCGGAGATTCTATTTAAACTTATTTTAATATGTATTTTTTTAGAATTTATCTCAGCGTAGACACCACGAAATAGTATTTTTTATACATAAGACTATCATATTGCGTATACGGTTGGTTGAAATAATTAATAGAAAGAACAAATAAGTTTCTACAGAAAGCAAACATGGTTCTACAAAAGTAGTTACTATTAAAACATTAGCTTTGAAACATAGAAGCGGGTTTTTATGTCATGTTTGCTCTATTTCGCAGTTTGCAGAGCACACATCACTTGTGAAATAAAATTTTAACCAACTTACACAATAAAATACCTTTAGCTTGCCGACAATACATGTGACACGCCTTTCAAATAGTGAATTCCGTTCTCACACAATGACATCATAAGTTTTTGATTAATTAAAAACTAAATTTACAACCTATATTTGTTATATACGATTGAAAATCGAATGTATAATGAATGGTGGCATGACTGTTTTTGTTAACACATGACGAATGGCTAGTTTATCTTGACCTTTGATGACACAACATCTTCGTTTTCGTTGATGGGCATGAAGGATCTTTTTGAGTGGTGTTAAATGTTACTGTCTCCTAATTTCAAAACTATTGCTTCATAGTTGCGTTAGTCTCAGAATCACAAAAAAAAATACGTGATTATTGTTTTGTAATTGGAAAAATTATAAGAATAGTGTATATTTATTATAAAAAAATTTAGTTTTATATGTGTATATATTTTATTGTATAACTGTATTTCTGTTTATTTTAGTACTTTAACAAGTTTGAAGGTATTGAATATACATAATTACGAAGTTTTTTTGCTATATATTTATGTCTTTGTAAGAATCAAATATTATCGTCATATTAACTTTCAAAGGAAAAAACTTCTCTTTGGCCGTTAGTAAACATTAAAATGTCTTCATGGGTTTAAGATTTCTGTTATAAAGGAGTAAGGTTCATATTCCTCTGGGTTTATTTGTTATTAAATAGTATCGATATTGACGCCACGAGTTTTCTTCGAAGGTCAAGTTCCTTTACCTAAAACGTGTTTGTTAATAAAATATCAAGATTCTATTGTCCATTTAATGAGATTCAATTGACAAAAACGTCTGTTGCCTGAAACTATTTACTGAATTATTTAAAAATATTTACATGGACGAATTACTCGAAAGGAAAACCGATATATATTATATAGATTAAAGATACGAGAATCACTTCGGTAGTATGAAAAAATCAGTGTATTATTCATACATATATTAAAATATTTTCTCATTTTCATACTATACATTCTCCTTTAGTATGTTGTTCTGTAAGATATTTAGTCCAATATATCAAGCTTTAACACTGAATATTGAATCTATACAAGATTATGGTATTGTAGAGAAATTCCAATTTCAGGATATAAACGGTTGCCTTTCGGGTATATTGAAATACTTTACAAGTCTAGTGTATTGAGGTTTGAATGGAATATAATTGACAAATATCAATATAGACTATTTTGTAAACATCCTATATTGAAAACATATGTAAATAATTGAAATGAAAGATTTTAAACGACGAATAATATTTTTCTTTAGAAGTACTTCCATACAGAAAATAATTGGAGTGACAAAATTACAAAATTCATTTATCAGAATTGCATAGATTATTATTTCACAATATTTACAAATATTTTTTTTAATAGGTGAATAATCAAATTAAAAACAGAAATTATATCATTATTGGTTAAATTCTTATTAGTGTACGGTATTCACCTATGATGAAAACAATGAAATATGTACATATGTAGAATTAATTTAATTAGTGTCATTATGTATTTTGCGAAATAATGATTTCTTTAGTAGCTATCACTCGTTCAAACCTATTGTAAACGATGAAAGTCCCTATTTAAATTTATTTATCTTTCCATAATAACAATAAAATGTAGGCATTTCTGTATTTTATTACTGTTGTAAAGATAAATCAAGGTGAATAAAATATGGTGTAAATGTAGGCCATATGAAAAAGATTAAGACTTTGAGCAATAAACTTAAAAATCATGCCATAGGCAATCTTTGACAAATGAAAAATAAAATCAAAATTTACAAGAATAGATTGATGTACATATTAAGAAAAAAATTAAGATTTTTTAAGTCTTGGTGACCCGCAGGTGGCACGAGACAAGTGTGTAATCTTTTCCGAATCATATGTATTTTCCGAAGTGATCTTTTCCGAATCAGATGTATTTTCTAAGAGTATTTAGACACCACTGACAGACGGTGAAGGAAAACATCGTGAGGAAACCTGGACTTATAATTTCACAATTACAAGTTTGAAATCGTCAACCCATCTTGAGCAAGCGTGGTGATTAATGCTCTAACCTCCTCCATATGAAAAGAAGCGTTTGCTAAGTAGTGCTAGAATACCCTGATTATGATGAAGATTTTTGAAAAGAATCTATTGTATGTAATAAGTAATAATACCGCCTACCAGGAGTATGAGTTCATGGTTGATGCATTTGCAGCTAATAGCTATTTGCCATAAATTTTAACTAGGGATGCGGTTTATGGTTAAGATTCTTAATGGCATTGTCTTCGGATGCAGGTAAGTAATGTGATTATACTAAGAGACACTGCTAGTGTACTTTAGTAAAGTGTATCCATATTTATATACATATAATATTATTGTGTGTTTGTCGTAACTGTACTCAAAGGCTACAACGTATGCATATACGAAAAATGAATAAAAAATACATTTGTTTCCAAAAACTTAATAGGTTTTATCCAATCTAATACTAAATATGTAAAATAATTACAACAAAAAAAATGTAAGTAAAAAATCAATTCATTTTTTAAAATTTATGCGTTTTTTAAAAAGATATGCTTAAAAGCTTCTAACAATTTATTTTACACCGTGGTACGTTGTAAATGATAACATTCTATTAAACCTTCTATTGAAATATAAATATATAAGTACCTATTTAAAAAACAACGTACCAAATACAATGGACTGTGACAGACTTATATTTTATTTTATATAATTTGCTTGTAAGCTCTCTTTCAAGTACTTCTTTAAGACTAAACAATGTAATTAGTCTTAGATTAACTAAATTGTAATTTAGGTATAACAAAGCCTTATTCGTCTAGAGATTTTTACTACAGATATTTTATATCAAGTTAAAAGGAAAAATAAGAACGTAGATGTACAAGTCTCGGCAATATTGTGTTTCAAAGCTTCTAAGAAAATATCTTGTATAAAGTTTTAACAATTTTATATCTTTTTTTACCTTAGAAATAAAAGTTATATAAAACCTCCTTAATTAACATAAGTAATAAAAGACTTTTAATGGTTTTAAAACAAAAAATCCTAGATAATGCATACTAAAATTAGGCTCGCATAATTTGTATCATGTTGTATTTTGGTGAGCAATGTTGACCTTATACTTGAATTCAATTCTTCTAAATAGAATATGAGGGGAAAAATCATTTATAAGATAATTTAATACATAATTTCATTATAGAAATGCTTAATTCACCTACTAGTATCAAGTGACAATAGCTAAATTGGAAAAATAACAAGGATGTCATATTTCGGAGGTAGTAGGTGCGATTTCTGTTTGTGAACATGATTTTATTTTATATTGAATTTGATTTCATATTAGTACTCTTTTAGTATCTAAAGCGATTATGTATAAAATTTTTCAAATAAAGCCTTGAATTACCTTAAATTATTATCACCTACGATATTTTTCTTACAAATGTTACTAAAACCAAATATATCCAAGTTCATAGTGTAGATAGTAGAAGGATTTTGTAAAGCATCATAACGATAAACACAAAACGAGTCCAGTGTTAAAGGAAATAGCGTATACTTTTTGTACATTTCACTTTGAGATGCGACACACGTCCAATGATGTTTATAATAGCTTTCATATTGCAATGGATGCACTTTAATTTATTGGTCATAAGATCTAATTTTGTATGAACAACCCACGTCCTTCCGGTGACCATTAGAGAAGTGCATCGACAAACGTGTTGTGCTTTCATAAACTGCTTTCGTTTAAAGAAATCTAACAATTATGTTATTAGGGCTTGATTATGAACTAATTATGTTTGATTATAATCAATATACCGCTGGGAATGGCAGTTAAGTACATATTACGTTTTTCAACCAGTAACTAATCTTTTGAGTTTTATGTTTCAAATTATGCAATTTCATTTTGATTCCCGATGGCGTTATGAATTTTGCGATAAACATGTTTATGTAATAGTCAGATTCAAATATAAATTCAATTTCTAATAATATAACTCTGTCTCTTTTTGACATAATAAATATTTAGGACTTCCATTATAAAATTAAATTAATACACGCACGATGAAAAAGCAACACATATTTTTTAAACGACAAAACTAAGAAGAACTATGTAGTATATGTATATACATATTATAAATGTATAACATAAGTAATAAATGAACTAACGGTATTATACAAACATACGACATTTTAATGTATCAAAATTCCTTGTTAGACAAAAAAAAAACAATAACTATAATTTCTTAAAATCATTATAAATATTTTCACAACATATAACACCTCTTTAGATCAAAATAAGCAAATGTTTTCTTAAGATGCTATAATACAGCACAAGAAAATATTATTGTTTCAAATTTTAAAGCAGTTAAAAGAAAACTATTTATCTCTGTAACATCATAATGTGTGCTTCACCTGATACATTTTCATTCCTCCACAGAATTGTCTCATTTAAATTCAGCACACATCCGCGTCAGTCTATCCGTCGTACGTAATTTCTAACCGTTCCATATAATGTAAATTACAGTATTCAGTAATCTATGAGCTATTGGAACTATTACTAATAATTTCCATTAAAAACACATCACAGCGTGGAAGGAAATGTAGCAAATCTATTTATGTTTTAAAGGGATAAATGTATTACGAGTATGCATTGATGTATATTAAAATCTTGTAGATATTAAAGACGTTTCCATTCTATGCCGTACTAGTCTTATATGAAATAAACTTTCAAATCAGCCGCATGGGATACTCGTAGTAAATGTGTAAATGTATTGAAAACGAATAATGATTCGCTATATAAATGTATAAGTTATATGAAACAAAGCAATAAAATTAACATGCTCTTATTAGTATGGTAACTGATCAACATATGAGAGAATTGCCATAGATTTGACAGATCTGTAATATGATCCTATGTATTAATTATTAGTACACAACAATGTCATTATGAAAGTTATATTAAAGTATTTTCAAATGTACATAATCAATTAATTCTATAGAGATATAACAATACTATCTTTTTGTTTGTGTATGAGAAACACATATGAGTGTGGTAGTTCAGTGTGTATTGATTCAGAGTTAAGCATTGTAGACCTCTACAGACTACTTTATAGCTAATAGCAGTACAGAGGTTTGTTATCTAGTTTAAAATTATAGTTTATCCAATAATATCCGAAGCTTTCTATGGAAAATGGACTCGCTTTTTTAAAGTATAACCAAAATGTTATACATCCTACTAATATTATAAATGCGAAAGTAACTCTGTCTGTCTGTTACGCTTTCACGCCTAAACCATTGAATTGATTTTAATGAAATTTGGTACAGACATGGAGTTGACCTTGAGAAAGAACATAGAATAGTTTTTGTCCCAAACTTTTGAACGGTTCTCTTGAAAACGCGATATAACCGAACTCCACGCGGGCGAAGCTGCGGGCAGAAAGCTAGTAAAATATATTTCTTGAATATTAAGACAATAAATATTAAGAGGAGGACGAAGTGGTGAAGTATCTTATGTTTCCAACAAATTTCAAGGAAGCGTGTGGCTATGGAATGTTGGTTGGATCTAGCGTTTCAAATAGGGTTGACCGTTTATATATTCAAATTCAAATAAATAAAAACCAATTTGTAATATATCAATATGTTTTATAAGATATATCTATTCTTTTCCAAATAAAATTAAGTGTGTTATATAAAAAAAATATGTATGCGACAACCCTGCGAAGTTGTGTTGTGAAATAGTTTTATCAGATGGTTGCAACCGGTTAATTTTACTTCATATATAAATGATATATATTATTATTCTATATATTAAAAATAATATATAAAAATGAATAACATAAAATAATCTTGTTTTATATCATGTCGGCCCTGCAGTTTATTTATACAGAACAATATAGTGCAGTCACGATTTAAAAATTGTTTATCGCTGAAAGGCAATTTAAATGTCAAGATATAATAATGTAATTACAACCTTATCGTTAAAAAAATTGGGATAAAAATTGACTGTTTTTGTTGAGACTGGCACAAGCTGGTACTAAGGTTACAGTTTTGTAAATAAAAATACGAGTCTAGACAATAACTGGATCCTAGATGTACAAGCTGAAAGTACAAAAATTTTAATAAAGTTATGAAATATAATGAAATACGTAACGACGTCACAAATATAATAATTTGATACATTCGATTTCTTTGTGTATATAATATTCATAATGTTTTTAGATCGGAAATAATTTTAATATTTGTACTTTAAAAACAAGGAATAAAGTAAAGATTATTTGTAGACAATGATGAATTTATGGATGGTATATTATGAACCATCAAAATAATTTTGAAGTCATGATCTCAATGAATTAAGAGACAATATTTATAATATAACTTTATATAACTAAGATGTATAGGAGACGATCTGTAGGTACTAAAAAAAGTTGGATGTATTGTAAATTAAATAGCATTTTTAGAGTTCAAAAAAATATTATTAAAATATAAAATAAAGCTATTAGAGAGCTGTCTTAGTTAGAAAAAAAATTATAACAGTTATTTCAACTAGAAACATTATCCTTTTATTTTCTTTTTCTTTTTAATTATATACGAAATAAAAAAAGATGATGGAATAGCATGTTCTAACGAATTACTTCAATTCATTAGCTAAATTGCTTTTAATCGTCATTGTGTGAATATTACTCTGAGTGTTGGGATCGCTCGCGAAAAAAAATTATAAAATACGTTTTTCTAAAGCATATTTCATTTTTAATGTAATAAATATGAGGATGTTAGCAATTCTGAGAAAACAGTTTAAAAAGTTTATATTTAAAATCAAATTGCAATTCATGTTTACTAGATAAAGTGTTTCAGCATACTGAAAGCCTATTAAGCGCTCACAATCTAGTTTCGTCATAGAAAGCCTATACGACATCAATTTAAGTACTGTTAATATTTGCGTATAACAAAATTGCATTATAATAACTCATTTGATTGATACGAGTATATCTACTGAATTTTGAAAGGAATCAGAGAGTTTTTTTTATTATTAGTGTGTTAGCAAAATATTGTGTTAAATGATATTTCAAAGCAAAGCAAAGTAAATGAATTTTTATGACATTTTTTAAGTTGGGTTACAAACTCGGTATCTAAAAGAAAGTCATAAAAGCATCCTGGTTATAAAAATATATAGATTTACTGGATCTAGGCAGACTTCTCCAAGATAAAGTTTAACTTTCATCATATAGTAAGGCAATTTTCCGCTTACAAATATTTTGTATCTAATTCATGTTTTATGTTGTGTTTACTAAAATCTTATTTAAAATTTTTGATCATAAAATAACATCGAGTCTTTATGAAACGAAATGCAAGTTTATATAAAATGTACTAACATTTTACATACAATAGACATATTAAATTCTTTTGGATTTAAATACGAAGTCGATGCTTTTACATACAATAGATTTCGTTTTTTTTTTACACTTCAATAAAACCAATTTGGAAATGAGCGTTCTAGTTAGTTTTATTTTTATGTGACAATTACAATGATCTTTTGTCTCAAATTTTGAAGGGGAATTACAGTTTTGTTAAAATTATGTTATTTTTTATATTTTATATCCCAAAACATATCTTCTTTCTCCTGACCCCATACCAAGGTGCTTGGGACTAGAGTTTACAGTCTTTTGCATATAATTATCAAAATATAAAAAATTGCCTACCTTTTAATAGAGTAAATTTTGAACTATTCTTATATACTCATAAAGTTATGTCTATTATTTGTCTTTAATTTTTTTCTAAAGAGACAAATAAAAACAGGTATAATTTTTTTATATATAATATGTATATAACATACCCCAACATGCTGGCCGTCAATGAACAGTTGCGGAACTAGTATCTCCTCGCTTCTCATTCTATCCCGGATTTCATCCTGGTACTCCGTGCTCATGAACACGTCTCGTTCCTCGTACTTCACCAGCAGGTTACGGAGAATCTTCTTCACCAAAACGCATCTCTGGTAGGTATTCCTCACTATACCCATCGTGGTAGTGTACAAAACCACCTTGCCGGCGTCTTTTTCTTTGTAACTCTGTTGAAATTTAGATATATTACAATTTCGTTTATATATAAACAAGTATCATGTGTTAAGCATAAAATTTTAGCAATTTATCAGAATGAAATTGACATTATTTCTAGAAGAATATTTTATGTAAATCATATATTCCTACGAAAGCCTTGAAAAGGCTATAAACATTTAAATGACCTTCGAACATCCTGTTTTAAGATATTTTTATATTAAAAAGGATAAATATCAAAATATTGACCAATAAAATAGCCTCATAACGTTATAGCTATAAAATTAAACAGCTTGATATGTAAATTAGTCGTAAAACAAGAAGCATACTGTAAGGCAGCTTGAAACTATGTCAATTTCAAGGATAATTGGCCGTTAAGAGTAAAATGACGGTATCTGACGCACCGCGGTTAATTGTGCATAAACGTCAGCTTATACAAATAGCTACTAATAACGTATTAAAATCAGTTCAAATAGTTTAATAAAATTTACGTGTATTTATTTTTATATTAATTACGAACAAGGCAAGAATTTGTTGTTTTAAAGCTTTTATCTATTAATTTATTCAATATATGATATGAATTGTAACAGCTAACGCCATCTATTTGAACTTTGTAGTACTACAGAGCCATCTCTGTTTCCTATAAACCCAAGTCAATCCCGTTTTATCTACCCAAAAGATGGCGGCTTTTGTAAATCAGAATTATAATATCTGTTTGAATTTATGTAAGTTAGCTATATAAAATAAGTGCTATAGTTAAACTTTGCTTAACAATTTAACATCCGTAACATTCATCCATTACACAAAGGTATAAAAATATTTGAATTTAAACACTTAACACGCCTTTGTAAAAAGTGGGTCAATTTCACAGATTTGTCGTCAAACACTGGACCGCAAATTTACACTTGTTGCGTGTATAGTTTGCGTAATTTCCTTATTCTACTGTCACCTTAAAACATTGGTTAGTAAATTTAGTATATCTCACTAATTTAATGTCAGATTCATTACTAATTTAACCAATGTGTGACCTCATTGTCAGTTTGGTCTCAAGTTCTTTATTAGCTAAGTAGGTATTCATAAAATTAAGTAGCCATTATAATCTTCTAACCTTTCAAAATCTTCTATTTTTTGAGATCAATATTATTATTATTATTGTTCTATTATTTTCATAATTTAAATTTTTTTCATCAAAACAATAAAAATCAGGAATTCAGTAGTGAAACTCTTTGGTAATATCCAATATAAAGTAGAACAATTCTTTGTCTTAACTCTTATAAAAATAGAATTCGAGTTTGTTCATACGATATTTTAAAATATGTACCATGCCGTTCCAATCTTTTAAGTTTCAATATATAATCTAACAGGAAAATTAGGTTTTAGATTGGTGTAAATCGAGCTTTATATATATGAGATAAATCTATCTAGAATAAGATGTATATAACAATAAAAAAGTTCTCGTTATAATAATAATGAGAACTTTTCTCTTGTATTTATGGTAGAAATATTAGTATTTTTAAAATAAAATTTAAACCACTTAAATAAATATTACAATAAGTCCTAGTTCCAGCATTATACAACGTTTTGTACAACCGACATACGTACATTATTACGTGTGATGTTGATTGACGAACATTGATGTGATGTTTATTTAGAAATACTATACGAAAGGTCAAAAGATGAGTGTTATTTAATGGTATACAAATAAGTGGGAATTTCCAAAGTCGAAAATGATGTCTCTGTATAATTTATTCAAATTAATAATTTATTTTTATAACCCTTTTAAATTTTTTTTTCGTTATAATTGACGAAAGAATAGTCTTAAGAGTATATAAAAGTATGTTTCATGTATCATTTAATTTATTTCATTATTATCTTGTATTATTTTAAATAAAAGTGAAACTATTATTAATAAATTTAAATTAAAATATATGTAATGACTTCTGAGGGTGAGTATAGAACAAAAATATCTACATTATATATCTTATTAACCTATTAAAAATATAGTTTGAAAACTTCAACAATAATTGACGGCTATATACATATATGTATATTTCTACGACTTGATTTCTTTCTAAACTATTATTTTAGTAATAATAGTAATATTTAGAGTGACTAAAATGGAAAATTCAAAATTATGTCAGGTTGTTAATGTCCATAAATAGAAAGTGGAAAGAATTAGTGTTATTTGATTTATTTGAAGAACAAACAATTACCTCAGTTGTTAATTTTACATCTCAATAGATTATGTATTGAGGATAAATGTAATGATTAATACGATCCAGGTTATTTTTTGTTAGTTATTCATCTTCGTAGAGATATTTACGCTTCATTTAATTTTCAGCTTAGTTTTATCCGAGTCGTATTTAAGAATGGTACGGACTGATTAGATTTACTATGGTATGATATTGTTCTTGCATTAAATCTCATTAATATTTAAAATTAATTTAATACCTATTCTGTTTTCAAAGGTCATTTTTCTGTACGCATATAATAAATTCAAATACGTTTGTCTACTCATGCAATCTATTCTATACGTAAGATATACAATATATTTACTATTTTATATGATAAATGGATACCGTTTTAAAATTTCAAATAGACAGGGTAATATTTGGAAACTTAAAGTATGTAAACTCACGAAGACTGCCTATTTTGTGATATTATTGTTTTATTTACAAATATTATTCATGCGTTTAAAACTAAATTGATAACTTTAGAGTACAGTAAAATATATTACAAATATATGAACAGAATTATTTACCCCAAATTTTGTGACATCTAAATATGACAGTGAAATGTAAAGCTATTTTGTAATAATTAGGTAAAATTATTTTCAATATCGAAAAAAAAAAAATAATTTCTACTGTAACCGCTTCTTATTTAATTCAAAATCACTTAACAAGAGTATTATTCAGAAAATGTTACATTGTTTAAACTTTGTATTTCCCGAATAAACGGTTTTATTTTCAGTGTTAGCACATACATTTTAATTGGTTCACACTTCAATCTGAGTTTAAATTAGTCAATGAAAACCAAAACTTATAATATGAGACACAATACAAACTTATAAACAATATCTATTTAGTTTTAACAAGAAACAACTATATATAATAATTATTTTAAGCACATAACTATCTGCTTCCTGTGACTTTAATGTTTTGCTATTAATTGTAGTTAATTTTAATAGGCAATAGTTATTAATAGTTTTATCGTTAGAAATAATTTACGTAAACTAACTTTCATTCAGAATTATTGGTTTATATTTATGAAAGTGTGACCGGAGCCCACACATTTGGATGGTAGGTTGACTTCGCAAATGTTTGTAATTTTAATTCGGAGTCAATTTATCAACAAGATGTATGTATATTCATATTTAGAGGGCCGTTGAAAAGTTGTTAAGGATCGTTAAGAGTTACCACATTTTACATTTCACTTAAACATTACGAAATGTTTTAGACAAATTGCTTTGAGTCTTTGTTGGTAATGGTTTTGCGTCTTTATGGCCTAATGAAGTAATGTATTGAAAGATGGCTTACAATTTTCTGGTATTATGTTTTGTAATAGCATTGAAATTCAATAGGAATTTTAAATAAAGTACTTATATTTAATCCTTTATAATGATATTCTCATCCTATTTACTTTTAGCCCATCATTACGCCGTTTTGTCTCTAACAATGATTGATATAAGAATATAACTAAATAAAAACACATCAGCATTAAATCTTACAAAACCAACAAAGCCATTAGCTTTTGTGGTTTGCCGAGTTAAGTTACTTGTTAACCGTAAAATGCATACAACCCAGTTGCTTCTAATCAATGTACGACAACTATGCCATTACTCTGAGTTATCTTTACACCGTACGATACGACCAAGTTATAATATATCGTATCGTAAGTAATTTGAAATTTGTAAAAAAAATATCAGTAGGTACTTAGTTTCTTTTTCGTGGTTTTGTTCTATTATAATTTAATTCGAGAAAAGTATGTAACGAAAATTAAAGAAGGTATATCCATTGTAATGTTTGACTTTTTAAAATATTTTTTAAATATCTTTTTTTTATTTAGTTATTTTCGAAGATTAATAGATCGACAGAAATTACTTAGGCAGTTAGTTATTATAATATCTGGAATTTTTCATGAAAAATAAAAGTTTATTAGCCGTAAAGATATATAAAGATATGACCATCAGATGTTATTACCAAGAATAAATGATATTTAATGAAAAGAATTAATTAGTCATAGATTGTACATTTTTATAAGATCGTATCGTACGTATTAAAAACAGCCTTTACAGTTATTTAAATTCACGTTTGCCTCACTTGTTATTCACAAATTACACTTCATCGACAAAAGATTTATAACAGTAGATGATATTGAAGTTTTTAATAGCTTTAAAATTTCCTTAAAGATTTTATATTTATGTATGACTTTATAATTTTTTAGCTTAGTTAGTTTTAGTTGTATATTTTGTTGTCTCAACAATAAATTCTTACGGTAATTAAAACTAATTTTAAAATAAATAAATATACAAAACCAAAATAGGTTGTCATTTCCGAAGCAAAATATGATCTTTGCAATTGATTTGCATATAAGGATATTGTAATAGTAACTAATTGTTTAATCTTTGTATAAAAATTCATTAAAAAAGTAAGTAGTGAATTGATATTTCTATAGAAAAATATTTGTTTTAGCAACAGTATTTGATTGTTTTATATAATTACGTTTTATATTAATTGAATAATAAATAAAAATTTCTTGATCGTGAAAAAATTTTTCACTAATATACATATTAAGTTATTTTTCTCACATATCTACTTTTACTTTTATTCTATTAGTATTAATATTTTTGAACATGTATATGGTAAGTCGAAACATAAATGACAAAATAAATTGTATAAAATTTATTTTAAATTGTATTTATTATATCTAGTGTATAATATATGTCTGGACACTGCGTTTTTCTCAACTCACACGTATGTGAGATCTTCGATATGTATGTAGATGGTAGTTTAAG